TATATTGAATGACTACATTAGAAAGCTACGCTCGACTGTCCACCAGTCTTCAACATGGCGGTGTTCATAGCATACTGTAGGACATTACTTTTACTGATGAGGATATTTTATTTTTACAGTTTCTGAAAGAGAAAAGGAAGTGGGTTCACAAACTGAATGTAAAGAGAAGTAAATATGTAATTTTCGTGATTGCATGCATAGTTTTCGTAACCACGAAGCTAAATTCAAAGAATATTATAGTTCGAAAGTATCCCAGTTTGACGGTATTATTGAGTAGATAGGTTCCCTAAATTTAAATTTAAATATCTTTGTATTCCAAAGTACACGGATATATGTGTACAATATACAATTCATATAAAGGCAGGAGGATAGCACAGCTATTTTCAGCTTTTCCTGAATATAGGGAAACAAAAAGAAATATTAAAAAAGGAGGAAAAAATTAACAATTATTACAATTTTCACACTTTGCCAAATAGACGAGTAGGACACATACCATTTCATACAGTTAGTAACATATGTAGCCTATATCATAAGCATCATTGATAATTTTTTTAAAGTTCGATATACGCCTGTAATTCGCAATATATAATAATTAATTGATTCCAAATTGCAACTGATCTATAAAAGACACATTTTGTTCACCCATGAGTTTGCATTTAGGTAATATATGGTTTTTCCAATTGTTACTGGTAGATTGAAATTTATTTACAACTAGCTGCAAGGACTCGCTTCCCTGGGTTTTTATTTGTTCGTACATTTGTATGTAATATAGTTTTTTATATATATATATAAAAGACTGTTTTTCTAAGTAATCTGGAATCTAGCTGAAAGGACCCGCTTCGCTGGGTTTTTAAAAAGTAACGATAGTGAAGATTAAGATAATTATATTATAGCTAATCTTACCCGTTTTCACAGAATGCAAGAATTAGGTCCCACGTTTCCAGACTAATTAGAGAATTTTTACGTTTAGTCAAACGAACTATTTTCAACGTTTCTGGAACGTTTACAATCATTCTATAATCGAACCAATATTTGAATTTTATGTTCGAATTAAATTCGAACAAATTCGAACAAAACATTCGAAATAGAAAGCCACTTTCAACCACTTTTAGCCTTATATCTCCCGCACCCTTATAGCTATCGAGACGCAACTACCCCTATCCCATGCACGAATGGAGACTTGGGGCTACCACCACATACAAACACCATTCACGTGCGATGTGTAGTTTTGGCGAAAAAGTGAAATATAGGGACATACATGTCCATTTTTATATATAGATATAGATATACAGTAGATATAGATATAGATATAGATATAGATTACTCAATGTCTGATAACAACATTATTATGTAAGAGATCTAATACCGAACTATGGATATTTTATAATAGCGACTGATTTTATAATACTATTTTATAATAGAGCAGTTTGAACGTATTTATTTTAAATAATTTATACCACAACAGAGTCCGAGAAAACACGCACAAACCTATTTTCCAACCTTTACAAATTATACTAAAGAAATGTTCAGACCACTCCATGGTTCGACAGTATATTTCAATTTAGTTCGTGTTGTTATGTATATTTTATTGTTTCATAAGTTAAATATTGTTTAATTCATTATTTAACTGCTACATTAGCTCAGTTCGTAACCACGCTTTATAAATTGAGTTGATGTAGCAGTTAAATAATGAAAGTAAGTTATACTATATGTTCTAATTTAGCCAATGTAGCCTATTATCAATTTTTATTTGACATAGTCTCAAATAAGTAGCCTTTATTTATAATGTTTAATGACGTACTTTACACGTCAACGATACAGCAACCTTAATTTATTTCTTGTTCAAAAACGTTCTTTTCTTGTATTTAATATATCAACGATATTTATATAAAAACAGAATCAACGGCGACCAATGTATTATAAATAATATTGTGAAGACAATATTTATAATTCGACATTTTCGTTTATATTGATATTTATTATAATTTTGTTTTTGTTTTCTATTTTTCATAAACTAATTTACGAAATTTTTTATAATAATGATCATGTACTTCAAAGCTAAAAATATATTTGACTAGCCAAGCGGTTAAGATGGCAACCTACCGGGAACCGAAATCGAATCCGAACGAGTCGAAAAACCCTGGAATTGTTCGAAAGTGGTTCATTCATAGATATCGGGGCCCTTCTTTCATTACCCCACTGCCCATTGTTGGCCTAACCGCACCCATGCTTGGCTTGCTAAAACAAAAGGCCCGCTTAGTCTCCACAGGGAGGAAAATAAAGTAAAAAGTGATGTTTATTTTGAATATCTTACAATTATTTAAATTTTTCTAATAATGTGTTTAGTTAAAAGGAAAATATTTACATAATTTTCTATTTCATATTAGTATTCAAGTATTATATTTATAAGCATAATTACTTATATCAGAGAAAAATCCTTTTCGACTTTCTCCCATCCCCATATAAGTAATCGTAAACATTGAATTAATCTCTCAAATTATACTAATAAGTAACATTGTGTTCATTTACTATTCCATTACTGATTAAGAGAATGAGCTGGATAAACTACATACAATAGATTCTGTAGTCTCAATTTATATTTATCTTAAATATCATTATGGTCAACAGAATTCATATAAAAAAATCTCGATTTACTCAAATATTTATGTTCTTTATGTATTTACTTCTTAATTTATTGTTTTAGTATAACAATGCTGATATCCTTATATTAGAAAATTACAATATAAAGATTTATTATCAGATGTAAATTAAGAAGACTTTTAATTAGCAGTTTTTAATACATTTTTATTTTAAAGAGAAAGTACAAACACATAAGCCTTGACTCATCCTTTCTTTCCGTATGAGTAGTGAGAAGATTTGCTTTCACTACCTTCTTCGCCTAAATGCTTCCTTAATACAGTGGAACCTCGGTATACGACCTTAATCCATTCCTGGTGTTTGGACTTATACCGAATAGGACGTATACCAAACCAACCTTTCCCATAAGAAATAATGTAAAAATGATTAATCCGTTCTCAATAATAAAAAAAGTGGCTGGCTTTAAACACCTCGCTTTCCTGGCTAGTTCCTGCTTGATTTTTCACGAGATCAGTGTGTATCTTTTTAGCTTTCTCGCAAATAATTGCTTTTTATACACTGTCACCAGCACACTGTTTTTCAGTTATCCAAAGCAAAAGCAATTTCTCGACATGATCTAATGTCTTCGATCTCTGTTTAGAAATTGATTTCACCCCTTTCGCAACGTTAGCAAATTTAATAATGTCTTTATTTTTTACGATTGTCGATATCGTCGTTCTCGGAATACTGTATGCAACAGTTAAATCTCGAACACGCGTGCCACCTTCATATTTCTCAACAATCTCTTTTTTTCAGTTCCATTGTGATTTTAATCATTTTTTTCTGTTGCCTTTTTGCAATTCATGATTAATAAAAATAATAACATTTTACTTACAAATTAAAATCAGAAGAAATTTAACAAAGTTATAAATTGTGGCACACGCGAACGTCTAGTCTGGTATAATACACCGATAGTGCTACTTTTTCATAGATAGCGCATATAATTGAATTAAGTCGTATACCGAACAAAAGTCGTATACCGAGCAAAATTTGTTTCGTCCAAACAGGACGTATTCCGAATTGGACGTATTCTAAAGCAGACGTATACCGAGGTTCCACTGTA